TCTGTGAGTTTCAGCTGGTGAGTTACGTTCGTTAGCGTAACTGCAGCTTAACACGTACATCGTGGTGAAATAAACTATGATCCATGTAACGCTAACTTTAACATATTAGTGTGTAAATTTATTTTATCTACGTAGCTAGCTAAACTCAGAAGCTAACTAAAGATTGACAGTAACATAAATCTTAGCTTGTAAAAATGTGCTCATCCATTGGATCAGCTGCTTAAACAGTTCACTAATGTTCACAGTTTATGTTCATGTTCTCCTCACAGGAGGTTCTGACCCAGATGTGAGGACAAAAGAAAAGCGAGGTGGGGGCCACAGGACAATCAGGCTTTGTTGTTAAAAATTTGCTGCCTTTTTCTACAGTGGAGCTGCATGTTGGAGGTCAATTAAACTTTAAAGGATTTTGTTGACCAGTTCAACCTTTATCTTTCAGCCTAGATAATGTTTTTTGAGCAATAATAACACAACCATGTTATTGTTGATGTTTTGTTCTCATGTCAATTAGGGAGATGATCAGAGCCCTAAACCCCAGAGAACCACAGAGAAGATTCAGGCAGAGACACAGAGGTGCAGATGTCTGCATCATCCCTACCTCATTGAATCCATTGACCTGCTGGTGGGATGTGAGGGACAATATGTCAAACTGACAACCGGGTACTGTATCTGTGTGTGCAACAAGCATCATTTATAGCCTCAGAGTGAACGTTTTATACTGCTGGAGACACCATCATCCAGGAGCAGGCTTGTTTGTGTCCAGAGAAAACAGACATGTTGTTGTTTCTGAAGAAAAACTGTTCAGTGAAAAGGTCCTCAGTGTGTAGCAGTGAGCATTAGACACCGACGTGTCACTGGTTTGTAACTGGTCTTTTGACCTGGAAATTATTTGTTTGTTTTTATGTAAGAAAACTGCTTGGAATAGAAAAATACCAAAGTTAAAAAATAAAACTCACAATTTGTACTGTCATGTGTAAGATAACTTTATTCTTGTTAGAATTAATAGTAATTACAAAATTGGTACCGAAAAAAGAACCGTCCAGGAACCGACACCAAAGTGAAGGTACCGACATCGGTACCGATACCAAATTTTTTTTAGAAAGGTACCCAGCCCTACGTGTCGCTCCTGCCGAGAGCGAGATACGTTACTGGGTTCGTACCGCGGTCTCATGTTTACGTGAACGGCGGGCGCTGAGAACTGTGTGCGCGCTCTCATAACGCAGCGCCTTATAGGTGAAGGCTGCTCGTGTCGCGGGAGCGCGTGTTGGCACCGCCGGCAGTGAATGAAACAACCTTAAAAGGCTCATTCGTGAGGAGTGTGTGTGATGGAGCCGCTGTCAGATCATCCGAGCTGACAGCCTGGCTAAAAGACACTTCATCATAAAATGACGTTTGTTTCCACATCGTGTCATCTTACACACATCCAGCAAACCGACACCTGGTTATCTTTCCCTGAGCTCTGTGGTTTGTTGTCCTAGAAGGCCCCCTGTTGGCGGAGTCCGGGAAAAATTTGAACTTCCGGATGCCGGGGACGTCTGACGGGAGGGACTGGCATAGCAGAACTGGGGAGGCGTTGTGCAGCCGTGGAGCATCTTGAAAGTGATCTCTTGTTGATGAAGGCCCTCCAACAAAAAGCTTCTGCAGCTCCCCTGAGAGGAAGGTGGAGTGACGAGCCAGGAGAACCTCTGGGACCTCGTCCTCCGGCTGCGATGCAGGCCGGCAGACAGCAAAAGAGGCGCACCGGTTGGGGATGACGTCAGCTGTCCTGCAGAGGGAGCGTAAGTCTCTTCCCGCCTCTGAACGTGTACGCCAACAGCGTAACATGTTGTTCACTGTGGCCGTCTGGAACGCATACTGGTGAGCTCAGTTGGAGAGCGGTGTCACCGTCTGGGTTACGCTAACCGGAGGCGCAGGACGCTGGTCCACCTGGACATCTTGTTCCGTGAAAAGCCTTCGTCGGGCTCGGCTCCAGGGGGCACTGAGGGAATTTCCGCTCGGTAAAAACCCCTCTGCTCTGGAGATGGGCGCGGACTGTGGAGACCGGCCCCCCAATCTACCAGGAAACCGGCTGTGGCCTCGTCCCCGTAGGACATCCTGTTGGGAAACCGAGGCCAGATGGGATCAGGATGGCGAGCCAGGATGGAGCCTAGAATAAACCTTCCCGCCGGATCATCCGAACTGGTGGGAAAGGCGCGGGACGTAAAAAAGGGTCCCTTCATGTTAGCCGCCTCCTGGATTAAGCCGGGCAACCCCAGAGGGCGCCGTCGGCCGGGAGCGGTCAGATCACCGATGCGAAACGAGGTGGGATGAGGTGAGCATTCACTCAGCCCCCCTCCACCGACACTACGCTCTCCAGGAAGGAATGAGCAGCGGGGCTGCAGCTGACGCCGCCTGTCCCGGAGGAACCATCCGATTCGCTCCGAGGGTCGGCGATAAGAGGAAAATTACAAGATGGCGTTGTCCAGCGTGTAGCGACCTGTCACTGAGAAATACTCCTCGGCGCTTACCTTGAAACAAGACTGCTCGTCAGCTTCTCCTCGGGGAGGAGAGCTCACCGGGACGACCGGAGGTCGACGTGACGGGCCAAGCATTCTTAACAAAGGTTGGTCATCTACACAACTTTCCTTCTTCGTTCTTCTGACAGTGCTATTAGCTCGCTGAAGAAAAATGGGAGTCGATTACCCACTCTTAACGTAATTTATACGGACCGGGTGGGGCCCACACAGCGGGTGGGGCCCACACAGCAGGTGGGCGTGAACTAAATTTTTCAGTGTGATGCTTCGCATGACGGGATAAAACCCACTAAGCGACAGCCTTAAAGGGCGAAGCCTATACGAAATAGAACTTGTCCTGAAGAGCTGGTTCTCTTGTGTCGAACCATGCATCTGTGAAAAGGCTGTTTAGTTTCTCCAATGTAGAGGTCTGGACAGTCCTCGCTGCACTGGACCGCATACACTACACCACTCTGTGTATGGGTGTTCTGTCCTTAGGGTGGACTAGTCTCTGTCTGAGAGTCCTGTTGAGTTTGAAATGTACTGGGATGTTGTGTTTGTTGAAAATCCTTCTGAATTTCTCTGATACTCCAGCAACATAAGGGATCCCTTATGTTGCTATGTTAAGACAGATTCCCAGCCAGTTTTCACACCTTATGGGAACAAAGGGGCCTCGTCTGTGAATTACAGTAACAAATACTTTAAGAAACCCCTACTGTTAAGGTGGGAGGTGTGAATTGCCAATCTACATATGTGTGTGTGTGTCTCATCTCACTCAGCCTTATAACCTGAATCTCTCACTCTCTGCTCTTTGAGTTGAGAAAGCTCCTTGGATGAGGAGCCAAACGTCTTCTGCTACAAATAAAGGCCAGTTGTTTTTGTACTGTACGTTTTTTTGAACAGATAATGTGCTGGCTGTGTTTCTTTTTTATTCATGGGTGGGTTGTTTCCTTTTTTTTCTTTTATTTGAGTGACTTGGGGTGACATCGCAGCTCTCCCTTTGACTTTGATCTGTCAATATGGCTCTTTTGGAAAAAAAAAAAAAAGAAAAAAAAGAGGATCACTGATATATAGGGTGAGAATTTATTTTGAAGTTTCTGGTAAATTATAAATAATAAAGATTATTAAAATGATCAAATTAAACAATATATATAAAAATCCTGTTAATGAACTTTAGTTCCCCATTAAATTACTGATGAACCAGATTTTACATAAACATCTATATTTACAAATGTTACAGGTTTTCTTCATCATTTGACGTATTTGCACTCACTGTGTCTACTTTTATTGTTCAATTAGATATGTGGTTTTGTTGCTTGTATACAGATTTTTTTTTTAATTTTAGCTTTGCTTTAAAGTTAAATTTTTGTTTTGTGATTTGTACATCTGTGGGTTAGAATAAAGTTGAACCAAAGGCTGTATCTCTTCTTTAAACATGTTTGAGGGAAATATTCCTGAGATCCAATAATTTTGTTTTTTTATGATTTTTCAGCTGAGTTAATTTAAACTAACAGATTATTTAATTAAGTCATTAAAGTGAAAACAGGATTTCATCATAAAGCCAGCATCGTTTATTCATTTATTTAAATCTTCACTGATAAAAAAACAAAAACAAATACATTTTTAATACATAAAAATGTTTAAAAAATCGTTTCCACCCTCCATCCCAGACCCATCCTGGTCCACCACTGTCTGCCGGGGCTCAGTGACTCGAGGTCTGACATTCGGGAGCAAACAAGGCTGGGGCTCGGTGTCCGGCCTTGCGTGCTAACCCGAGTTCGAGTAATTGCAAATGGCGGATCATTGTTTTGGAAAGTTTCTGAAAGAACCAGTCACCTGACCAATCAGTGACCGACAGTGTTCTGACATCACGTTTTGGTGCCAGCTCGGCTCGCTTGGTACCCCAGAGAAGATGGGACTGTAAAAGGGGCCAGTTCCATGAAAAATTGCTGGTGAAAAAAGCCTTGGATCTGTACCGAGCTGAGTTGAACTGTGCTGGAGGGGCTATTGAAAAGGGGCATAAGAGTCCAAAATCCAGGTCACTGGGACTAAACCCCATGATTTCCCAAACTGCCTCTCAAAGCCCAATTTAATCATTACCTCTTAAGAACAGGCCTGTACATGGGCCTTCTGAAGCAGGGGTATCTTCTGAAAACAAGCCCATACATTAGACTTTTCTGAAGTTTTTCATGTTTCAGAGACACTCTCCTGTAATCTCACCACAATCTATATACAGCATTAGCAGCACATTCTCATGACAGTACTACCATGTACACATACAATCGTTCTATCTCACAAAATCGTGAGCCCACTGCTTTCTTAATAAGCACTGGAAGACCTCACAAAGAACCTACAAAAACTCTTCCAAGTGGGTGTCATGAGGTTTGATCATTTGTTCCAAAGTGATCAGGGTTGGAAGTGGATGTTCCATTCAGGCATTGCTGACTTCTTGTTAGTTCTTGTAGCTTAAGTTTTTAACATGTCAGCTGTTTAGTCTGTGCTGCATCATACCTCATGTCACCCAGCCTCTTGCTAATGGCTGTGCTCATTGTGTTGAGAGCTGCACTTGTCTTTTGTCCTGCCTGGGAAAGAGTCTCTTGAGTCTTCTTGTATCTGCAGAAAAGAGACAAGAGGAAGGAAGGACAGGTGAATTAGTGAATGCCAGAGGATAAAAACAACAACAATGTTGAATGGAAGAACAGAGGATGCAAAACAAAAAACAAAACAGTGGAAAACAGAATAGCAAGATAAGCAAAGACAATTCATGGGAGAAAAAACAGATTAGAGGACATACAACAACATTAGAAAAGGGTTATTAGGCACAAACACAAGCTAATGTTAATGCTACGCCTCAAGCACAAATAATACAGTATTCACTGAAACAGCAAGAATAAGAAGTCCATTAGGAACAACAACATATAATTTAATATTTTCATCGAAAACCAAACGTTTAAGATTGAGAGCATAAAACTGGAGAACAAGATGGCGCCGGTGTGTAGGGCTGCCCGTCTCTCGCTCTCTGCTTGTATTGTATTTTTGTTATTTTTACAATGGTTGGTGCAGTGTGCCGAGTCATATTTTCAGTATGATCGTTGGGCACTTATGGAGCTCCGTACTTTTGCTGAAATTCCTGCTGAGTTTTTGTACAGCGGTCAGCACTCTCCTCCACCGGTCCTATCTGAGATTCCTGCATTCCTTCTGCGTGACCCTGGCCTTTTTCCATGGAGGAAACGTCGCAGACGTCGTGGGAAGCGTGCAGGGATTTTGGTGAAACAGGCAAAGTGTGGATTATTCTATCAGGACTCGCTCTGGATCTGATCTTCTCCTCTCTGACCCGTGGTGCTCCCGGGGCCCGGCTGCTGGCCAGCTGCCCACGCGCTCAGTCCATGTAAACACCTGGAGTTGTTGACGTGTGCGCCGCACCAGCAGACCTGGAGGAGCTGTTCTTCATAACCTGCGCCCGCTGGCGCGCGCTTCTCCTTCCATGGCTATGTCTGCGTTGGACCCTAGCAGGATGTGTTTAATCAATGCAAGGTCTGTTTCCAACAAGACGTTTATCCTCAATTACTTTTTTAAAGATCAGGAGTTGGATTTTCTGTTTATCACGGAATCTTGGATTTCTGATGGTAAGTCCAGCGCCTTTGTGGAACTACTACCTCCGGACTGTCTGTGTTTCAATGCCCTGCGGCCATCAGGTCGACGCGGGGGGGATTATTAACAGTTTATAAAGCAAACTTGGCCTGTAAACAGTTGTCCATCCCGGTGTCCCGCGCCTTCTCTGACTTTTTGGCTGATATCACACAGAGATACACTCACTTTTTGTTTATTGGTGACTTTAATTTGCATGTGTGTTGTTAGGAGAAGCCCTTAGTGAAGGACTTTCTATATTTATTGGACTCTTAATTTAACTCAGCAGGTAAACGGTCCCACCCAAGAACACGGTCACACGCTGGACCTCGTTTTAACACGCGATGTCTCTGTTTCTAATTTGAAAATCGGTGACAATGTTTTTTCAGATCACATGCCTGTATTGTTTGACTTCACCCCCCCTTGTCCTACCACTAAGACGTGCGTTCCTGCACGTACGTGTTCCATTAACCATTTCACTGCTGCTCGTTTTAATGAAGGTTTTAATTCTGAGAGGATCGAACAGTTCCCGGTGTCTCTTACCACTGAGGAGCTAACCTCTCAGTTCAACTCTGCCTGTTTAGATGTTCTGGACCGTGTTGCTCCCCTTGAAAACAGAAAAACGAAAATTAGATCAGAGCCTTGGCTGAATGACGTCACTCGAGCCGTTAGGCAGCAGTGTCGCAAAGCTGAACGAAGGTGGAAGAAGGACAGGCTGCAGGTTTCTGTTCAAATGTTAAGGGAGAGTTGGCGTCACTATCAGAAAACCGTTAAAGCTGCCAAATGTAAATTCTTCTCTGATTTAATTGTCTCCAACTCCCACAACCCCCGAGTTCTTTTCTCCACCCTGAACTCAGTTCTACACCTCAGTGAGCCTTCACCTCTGGAAGCCTCAACTGAGCTGTGTGAAAACTTCCTCCATTTCTTTTTAGAAAAAGCAGCAAACACCCGGGCACTCATTTCTCCACCAGCTCATGATCTGTCCATTCCATCTCAGTGTGTGGCTGTGTTTGACCACTTTGAGCCCATCTCTCTGTCTTCTCTGGAGCAGGTAATGTGTAGCATGAAGCCATCTGGTTCCCCCTTTGATGTGGTGCCCCCTCGACTACTAAAGGAAGTTTTTCCTACCCTGGGTCCTTTTATTCTCGCTATTCTGAAGAGCAGTTTATCCTCAGGTGTGGTGCCAAAAACTTTTAAACATGCTGCTGTCCAGCCCCTCCTGAAAAAACCTAACCATGACCCCTCAGTCATGTCCAACTTTCGGCCTGTCTCCAGACTCCCATTCACCTCTAAACTACTGGAAACATTGTGGAGTTTCAGTTGAAACAGTTTTTGGGGGATCACGCTATCCTAGTTATTCCAATCTGGCTTCAAATCTCTGCATAGCACTGAAACTTCTCTACTGAAGGTTTTTTATGACATTTTCATATCCACAGACGCAGGTGATTCTGTGCTGCTTGTCCTATTGGACCTTACATCTGCTTTTGACACCATCGACCACAAGATCCTCATTTCTAGACTGGAGCAGTGGGTGGGCATCACAGGGTCAGCCCTTAAATGGTTTGGGTCCTACCTCTCTGACAGAACCTTCTGTGTCAATGTCAAAGATTTTAGTTCGGCATCGACAGCGCTCCAGTGGGGGGTACCGCAGGGGTCCATCCTCGGTCCCCTTCTCTTTTCTTTATACCTGCTGCCACTAGGTGATATTTTCTGCAAACACAACATACCCTTTCATTTCTACGCCGATGATTGCCCAATTTACTTCCCCCTGAGGCACAGAGGCACACGCTCTATTCAGCCTCTTCTTGACTGCCTGGCTGACATC